TTCATGCCTGTTGCTGGTTGGCTAACTAGCAACAGGGTCTTGCCAGCCAATGGAATTGTGTGATTACAAGCCAGGGGAATCCCATAAAAGAGGGCTCCCCTGGCCCAGAGAGCCAGTCCGGATTTACTTTATGCCTTGCCAATAAACCAAGAGCTGACTGTCACTCGACTCGTGTCTTACTGCCTGCGCGATCTAACAGATGCCACTTCCGGAAGTCCATTCTGGGCCTGGGCAACAAAAAATTACCTACTGGTTCTGCCGAACTGGGCCGAACTGGCTGAATCCCACCACTGGGTGAACTGTTCTTACTTGATTTGACCACACCATTCAGTCTCTGCTTTTTGAGGTTGTTCTAAATCTTTGCAATCTGTGAGTTGGAGAGAAAGATTTTGCTTGCCAACCATGTGGATAAGCAAAACCATCTCCCTTTTGTGCCCTTTGGTATTGCATGCACTAGACTTACAGTCTGCTGATCTAATTATTTGAAATGCACGCCTCTCACTACATTGACTATGGAATGACAAGCTCTGCCCAGCCCAGCAACAACACTGCGTCCTTAGTAACAGCAGATTCCTTGCTACAATGAGTGTGAAAAGCAGTTCATTTATGGTGGCTGGATGCCTGTTGCCTTTGCAGGTAAAGAAAGGCAAGACTACACAGAGGTGGGTGTCTCAAAACTCGAGAGGGAAAAAGTAAAACATATGCTTAAGGCCAGAAGGTTATTTGTTTTTTGCTGAGTGTGGTCTTTGGGAACAAATGACAACTTTCCTTAAAAGTTATCTTGTACTTAGGGAAAGTTAAATCTCTGGGAATATGCAATTAGGCCATTCAAAATAAGGTATTTGGATTCTTCACTAAACCTGAAAGGAGAAATTGGATTAGATCTGATTATTTCATGGACAGGAGTCTTCCAGGAAATACTGGAACCTGGACTGAGATGTTAACAGAAGGCAACGGCAAACCAATTACATACTGTTGTCAAGAAAGCTACATGGAGTCAACAGGAACTGAGTTGATCTCAAAGATTTTAGGTATTGTAGTAAATTCTAGTTGACTTCCCAGCATGAAAACAGTGTACTAATCTAGCTGGGATATTGGGGGAAGGGAGAGAAATCTAACTATAATAAAGCAANATACCTAGCATTAAATTATTATCAGCATCAGGACATTTAAGAGAATAGGGAAACGTTTCATTTTTTAATCCATTTTAGGAAGAGCACATAATATTATAAAAATCAAAGGACTTAAACAGTTTGGTTTTGAGTTATTTTTAAGTGGTCAGGAAGGAGGATAAATTATTCTTTTATTGTTGTGGCATTTACAAATCCAGAGCTACTCTATATTTACAAGAAGTCACACATTAAAATTATTTCCTTATTTTACTACCTCTGTCTATAGATAAGAGTTGAGATTTGAATATTTAAGTGCTGTAGATTAAACGTTATTTGCTATTCTAAACATCTGAAACAGGAATATTGGTTTATATAAATCAATGAAAAATAGCACAAGAGTCCACAAGACAGCAGAGCCCAATCAAGTAAAAATTTCATCTCTTAGACTATTAAATATACACACATACATAAAATTAAAATAGGACAAGGATGGAGTATTACGTAGGTCTGTTCGCCACCTTGAGTTATTTATAAAAAAAAAAATAAAGGTGAGATAAAAATAAATAAATGAAGGGCATCATTGACCAGCATCATGAGTATTATATGGTCTTGTTTTCTCTCACTAATTTTTACTGTGTGTACACATAAACACACAGGGGTACAATTGGATATCATCCTTGTAGTGATGACACCATACGCAAAACTGACAGATGACCCATCCAACAGTTTCAGGTAGATATTTAAAAACAAGAGAGTAAGTATCAGACCCTGAAGCAGGAGGGTATGGTGTCTCCCCTCCTGTCAATACCAACTGGAAACAATCTTTGAGGAGGGAGGAAAAGCATTACACAGTACCCTCTCTCGCAACCACACCAGGGAGTCCAGAAGGATACCACAATTGATAGTACTAAAAGCTGTTAAGCAATCAAAGCATTCTTGGATAGATTCACCACTGTTATCTCAGCACTGTCAAATGTCATTGACAAGTGAAACCAGTGCTGTCCCTGTATGATATCCCAGTCTGAACCCTGACTAAACTTTGCCCAGATAATCCATATCCTGCAAAGCCCTATGTAGCTGGCATTTAACCATCTTATTCATAACCTTCCTCAAAAAAAAGAAAGAAAGAAAATATTGGAAACTGGATGATAATCATCCAGCATGGAGAGTCCAGTGATGGCCTCTTGAGAATTTGGGGACAAAATACATTATACAATTATTGTTTTATTGATTATCTGCCAAAGAAAAGAGGGAAAAGAAGAACATGCCTGATCCTTTTACCCCAAATTTCCTTCTCCTAGATCAGGGATCCCCAGTCTCTGGTCTATGGCCCAGTGCCAGGCCACAACCCGTTCAGAACTGGGCCATGGAAGTGTGCGAGAAAAGTGCTAGAAACCATCCCTTCTTCCCCCATTGCCACCGCAGCCTCCAGCAGTCCACCAAGCCAGAAGGGTTGGGGACCACTGTCCTAGATGTTTTTAACACAATGTTGCAGATCCAAGATAAATATTTTTGGGTGTTCAGACACACTTGTAAGAACTAAAATTCTGTTGGATGCATACAAACCTGGCTTCTATTAACCAGGGATTGTTAAACAGGACAATCTCTGAATACTTTTAGTTCAAATTATTTCATCTTGCCTTCCACTCTTTCAGCCTTGAAGCCACTTGTGTACACAGTTCTATAAATTATATAGAATAACTTCTTTGTAATTTTCATCAAAGACTTTGTGGTGTAAAAGAGAAGTTTATTCTCCTTTTTCACCATGCCATTTTGCTTCTGTTCAAACTGATTGAATGAGCCAAAGCTTCATTTCTTTTGTACCTTGTTAGATGGCTTAACTTCAACTGAAGTTTTCTATTACAGAGCAAATCCTTCTTATGGATGTCACAATGAGAAAATGTGATGGACCAACCACTTCCCCATTCCTTCTAAACAGTATTTCCCTTGTATTTTGCATACATCTCACAGAAAAGGGAGACATTCTAAGAAATAACATTTCCTTAACATTTGTCTTTCAACAAAATACAATAGAATCACTGTCAGATAATGGTACAGAGGTCTAGATTTAAAAAGTGCAAGAGCTGAAATCTCACAAAAGGAAGAAATAGACATAGAACATTGATGGACAAGGTTTTTCTCCACCACCTACTCTTAATCATATCCTATTGTAAAGTTGTCAGAGTACCATGGAGAGCACTTGCCTATAAAATCAACAAGAGTTAGACATGACTAAATGGTTACAACTACAATTGTTAAATACAATTGGTTATTATTCCTTATCAACTCATTGATCAGTAGATAACTCTATTTCAAATATTCATTCAAGCATTTGTTCATTTATCAAGCATATATTTCCTTTGTTTATTTGATGGCATAAACCAAGACTGCTGTTACCACCATGAGCTCAAAATCTAGTCTCATGCTTTCTGGTGATGACACCACATGCTTTTGGTGGTTCAGCAATAGCAATAGCACTTAGACTTATATACCACTTCACAGTGCTTTGCAGCCCTCTCTAAGCAGTTTACAGAGTCAGCATGTTTCCCCCAACAATCAGGGTCCTCATTTTACTGACCTTGGAAGGATGGAAACCTGAGTCAACCTTGAGCAGGTGAGAATCGAACTACCAAACTGCTGGCAGCCGGCAGTCAGCAGAAGTAGCCTGCAGTACTGCATTCTAACCACTGCACCACCACAGATCTTAAGGTGGTGCAGCAACAGATATAGATGTAATTAGTTTCCCTTTGGGACTATATTTATTGATTACACTACTTTGGTTCTGCCTAATGAACAAATGTTCCATTAAAAAATATTTTGTATGTAAATGGAGAAAAGATAAAGTAGTTACATCTCGGTGCCAAAATATATACTGAATACTTCCCACTCACAGGAAAGCAAAGGAGATTGTGAAACCTGAGGCACAGTCCATGCTCCAAACTTTATCTCTGCGTGATATAAGACAGAGAAATGGAAAATCTCCAGACCACAATAAGCCACCTGGTCAGCAAATCAATAATGGTGTGAATATTGAATCTTCGAACAAAAATGGAGTGGAAAAATATACATCCAAACAAACAGAAATAAATGTTATCAAATCTGTGGACAACAAAGTAAGTTGTTACAAGTCTTATAGTCCCTTCATTTTCTCATTCAGTTACAGATGGGAAACAGTCTGGGGATCAGGCCTATTAATAGACCAACTTTTCATAGGTGGCCTTCAATGAGTGACCACAGAGATAGAATGGGAGCAAATGATGATGTGGAATGAAGCAACTTATGGGTCTTCCATAAGATCTTGTTTCATGGGCACAATGATGTCATGATGTACATGTCATCACTTTCAAGTCACCATGCCTTATTATGAATGCTGTCTGCCCCTTCTTGGATAGTAGTTGCCAAAATTCCAAGAGCAAACCCTGAGCAGACTAGACTGGGAAAGATTGCATGAACAGGAATAAGGCAACTGTTTTAGTGGTAAATTATGGGCAAGGTATCAATTAAGTGGTTGCTATTGTGCTATTATTGGCCTAGATGGACAGAGATGCATGCCAGATATGACAAAAGACTGATAAGTCTTTTGTTAAAAAACATTCTTCCCTCATTCTTACATGTACCTCATGAGGACTCAGGCCACCAATTTTTTCAGTTTTTCTCTTCCAAGTGAGATATTAATAGTTTTGGTATAATGCAGTAGAATGTGCCAATTTGTGGGAAAAAAGAGCTGGAACTTCCTCAACCACAAAGCTCAGCCTATATCCTTGCCATGGTTATGATCTTTCATTCTTTTTTCTGTTAAAAGGATGTTAGTATTTGTATTGATTTTACAGCATGAAATTATGTTTGTCTTTATTTCTCTTTTTACTTCCTGTTCATTATTTAAGGAATTAAAACCTCCGAATTTATACTGTGTTACTGCACCCTGTGGAGATAAGTCTTTATCTTATATTCACTCTATCAAAAAACCATCTTTTGAAGCTCAGAAATCAAAAGCATTTCAAAAACAGGTAAGTAAACACGATTAAACTTTCAGTAGTTACACTGGGTTTCATAAGCATCTTTTAGAAAGGCAGAAATAGCCCAATATATTTTATCACAGTGGTAAAACTTTCTTACCAAACTCTTATACCAAGCTTGTTTACTGAGGCCAAATAGTTTTATTGTAGTATGCCCATGGCTTGACCTGTGCATAGGATCCTAGGTCCTTTCTAGGCTGATTTCAAGATACAGTCCTGGGAACAAAACCAAGTTTTAGGTCCTTGCAAAAGGCCAATCAGGGTAAGGATTAACCTAATCTCAGGTGGAATTATGTTCCACAGAGTGGGTATCATGGCAGAAAAGCCCCTCCTCCTGAGCCCCATCAGCTGAGAGTCCTTATCTGATGGTGACCACAACATGACCATCCTGCTAGATTGGGTGGGAGAGATAGAAACAATTGGGAAGAGACAGTCCTATAAGTAAAATAATAGTATTTCTTTCATCAGGACATTCTACCAGAGGATGAGGATGATTCTCTTCTAGTTCTGCTCAGAAAGGAGTTTGAGTTGCATCCTATAAGTCTCCCTGCTTTGGCCAGCCTGAATGAAGAGCTCAAGGAGACGGATCTCAAGAAATCAGGATTTCTGTCCCAGGCCCAGCTGAGCACCCTGCTTCTCAAACATGATGTCCCGCTACAATTACCAACTGTGAAACTGCTTTTCAAGAGGTGTTCACAAGCTAATGACCAAAAACTGGTATGCTAGTGTAAGATTTTGAACTGTGGATCAAATTTATAATTTTGAGCTCAGTGGAAAGGAGCTTTATAAAGACTACCTTATTCTTTTGATATATTGATGGCATAGGTCGGGAGGAATCTTAATTTATGACCACAAATGGGTGTTGGGGGAAAAACATCATGTTCCCTACTTCTGTAAGTGATAATAGCATACTAGTGTAAATGATTATGTTCTTTTAAATGATTGGAAGGCAACCAAAACTTCATTAACCGGTGGAATTTACCTCTCATAGGACTGGGGGGTTGCTTGTTGATTTCGATAGCTCTGAAGGAGGATTCAATGAATGTTGTGTGAATAAGGCTATCAAGGACTACCCTGTAGATAGTTGATTGATGGATAGATAAATAGATGATAGAGATAGATGGTAGATGATGGATGGATGGATGGATGGATGGGTAGGTAGGTAGGTAGGTAGGTAGGATGATGGATGGATGGATGGATAGATGGATAGATATTCAGGATTAAAAGCAGCATGGATGGATAGATGGGTAGATGGGTAGATGGAGAGAGAGAGAGAGAGAGAGAGAGAGAGAGAGAATGGATAAATAGAGGATGGATGGATGGATAGATATTCAGGATTAAAAGCAGCATGGATGGATAGATGGGTAGATGGAGAGAGAGAGAGAGAAAGAGAGAAAGAGAGAATGGATAAATAGAGGATGGATGGATGGATGGATGGTCATGATTGGACGCATGTGGATGGATGGATAGATGGGTAGATAGATGGATAGATAGATATTCACAACTAGAGGCAGCATGTGTCATCAAGTACCAGTTACAAAGAGAAAAGAGCTGTTCCACTTTTGGCTTAACCATAATGATCTGGCTGATAATTATGGAAAGTCCAATGATAATAGACATACAGCGTGGGCCATTGGTCTGACCTCTTCTGTTCTAATCTCATGGATTTCAGCAGATCCAGCCTCTCTAGCTATACTAAAGTTAAAGTTAGTTTATTAACACTTACTATACATAGTTAGTTCAACCAACAGTAGTAATATTTTCTACACCATATATTTTTTTTCTTCTGGAATTTTGAATCCCTGTTTTAAAATTAGCCTTTGAAATTATGTTTCTTTATGTTTCTTTTAGATATATTATGAAAAATTGATCCAGTTATTAACACTACAGGCATCGGGAAAAATGCGACATATCCTTCCTGAGAAGAATCAAAATAAAAAGAATCCAAGGTTTCATTTTAATTTTGCATATTATATTACAAATATCAATAAAAAAAGTATGAGAGAGGAATTTTCTGCTTTCAGCTTCCATTTGATTAGCTATAGCCTAAGGCTAAGACAACAGTTTTAATATGTAAATGTTAATTTTTTAATATGTAGCCTGTGGCTATAAAATTTTAGCAGTGATTTTTATCTCAACTTCGCAATAGGACAAAGACCTGTTTGGCAAGAGATATAAAAGAGATGCAGCCACAATATCCTTTTGGGCACCAGGGACCAGTTCTGTAGAGAAAGGTTTTTCCGTGGACCAGAGAGTGCATGGGTTTGTGTGCTGCCTGCATCCCACGGATGGGGCCTTGCTTGTTTTTGCAGACCGGTTGCTGGCATGCCATGGACCGGTACTTGTCCATGGACTGGGGGTGGGGACCCCTGTTTTAGTCCACCCCCATTTCCAGGGCAGGGCACCTCATATCATCCCGGACAAACGGTTGTCCAATCTTTTCTTGAAGACCTCCAGTGATGAAGCACCCACACCTCTGGTAGGCAACTCATTCCATTGACTAATTGTTCTTAATGTCAGGAAATTTCTCCTTAGTACCAGGTTGCATCTCACTTTAATGAGATTCCATCCATTACTTCTTGTTCTGCCCTCAGGTGCTTTGGAAAATAAGTTGACCCTTTCTTCTCTGTGACAGCCCCTCAAGTACAGATAGTCCTTGACTTACAACCACCACTGAGCCCAAAATTTCTCTTGTTAAGTGAGACATTTAAGTGAGTTTTGCCCCTTTCTTGCCTCGGTTGTTAAGTGAATCACTACAGTTGATAAGTTAATTACCCCGGTTGTTAAGTGAATTTGGCTTCCGCATTGACTTTGCTTGTCAGAAGGTCGCAAAAGGTGAACGCATGACCTTGGGACACAGCAATGGTCATAAATATGAACCAGTTGCCAAGCCTCTGAATTTTGATCACATGATCATGGGGATGCTACAAATGTCACAAGCGTGAAAAACAGTCATAAGTCACTTTTTTCAGTGCCATTGTAACTTAGAACAGTCACTAAATGAACTGTTGTAAGTGTGCTATCCCACTCACTCTCACACACAAGTAATTGTGGTTTAGTGACTTTATTAATATTCCCCAGCAATTTCCTTTGCCAAAAAAACCAGAACTATCCCAATTAAGTCCAGCCACGAGCAGACCAATGCTAGTCCACAGAGCAATGGCCAAAGAGTCCATAAAGCACTTGAAAGATTCTCAATCAAAATAAATCCACCAGGGAAATTTAAATCCATAACACAAGAGAGTTCATATGGCAAGAAAAGTCCAGAGTTTCCAAAGCACGATCCAAGTCAAGGCACAGTGTCAATCCAAAGCAAGGCAGGAATCATAATGACCAGAAAACACACATCTAGGAAACAAACACATTGTTCCCAACATTACCTCCATCTGTCTGCTGTGCTAAATAGCCAGCTTCAGGTGCAGCCCATCAAGAAGGGTGAGGCTTTCTCCTCATGAGTAGTCTGGCTGACCTTCTCTGCTCCTGCCTTTTCTCTACGCTACGTGTTCTTGGATCAGGTGCAGAAGGCAGTTCCTCCTCCTCTTCCTCACCAAATGGCTTCAGCTGCATGCTTTCCCCACCTGGAGCCTCAGCCAAATCCCTCACAGATGGCTGCTCGGAGTCATCAATCAACTCAGCTCCTGACATGCCAGGAACTGGTTCATCCTCCCCCAAGCTAACATCTAGAGAGGTATCTGGGGAAGTGTCCGGGGGAGTCATCACAATAAGTCAAGACTATTGTTCTGTTTCCAAAGAAGAGGCATGGAGATGAAGCAGAGTAACAAAAACAGTCTTCCTTTATTGCAATTCACCAACAGAACAGAGAACAAAAATGGTGCAGGCCCTTTTATAGTCCCCTGGTAGGGACAGTGTCAGCCAATCATTCTATGGCATTCTCCCACCTTGCGCATGCGCGCAAGGCAGGAGACAGCCTGTCTGGTCCCGGGCAACCACGTGGTCTGCCCGGGCCTTTCTGCAGCTTTCCTGAGCCTGCTGAGCAATTCAGCAGGCTCAGGACATAACAACTATCTGTACTCTTTTCTTTGTTAGGATAGACATATCTAGTTCCTTTAGCCATGCATCATACCTTTAGCCTTCAGACCCCTTATCATCTTTGTTGCCCTTCTCTGTACTCTCTCTACGGTCTCAGCATCTTTTTTACAATGTAGAGTAATTCAAAATGAGCTAGTACACCCAATTCGGTTGTAACTTGCACCTGCCATGAACATGAATAATCAAACCAGAAAGCTTGTGCTTATGATTTGTCTAATATTATGTCCAACTCAGCATCCCTGGGCTATTCCTCTCCTAAAGAATTAGAACCATAATCCCAGAATAAATCCTAAAATTCTGGTTTTTTTTCTAGAAAGCACTTGGGAACAAATCAGCATTTTATTATTATTTCTTTTAATGATTTCTTCCTGCAGACACATTAATGTTTACTTTGTTTGGGTGTTTTATTAATTATGTTAACTATTGGGAGTCTGTGAACATTACAGTAATACTATAAATGATTATGTATGATAAAATAATTTGAGTCTTTTTTTCTGGGATTGATTTGTTATAATTAGCATCTTATCTAGCTTGATGAAGATGATTATGATAAACCTGTAAATTATAATAATATTCTGACTAAGTTAAATCCAAGCACAGCACTTCTATTTTCAAGAATGCAAGATAAGTTGTCTCTTCATACTATCATTCTTTAGCTCTTGGACATCAGAAAATACATTTCTGGCACTGAAGCAGATACTAAAAGAACACAATGGAGAGCTGGATTTTGAAAAATTAACCCAGAGTTTTCTGCAAGAAGACCAGATTTGCTCAGGCCTTCTTTCATTTCCTGAGGTAAGAGTATGCATCATTTGAGGGACCACCTCTTCCCAACCTCATTTGCCTATCCATCACATCCAGCAGAAAAAGTATGTTGTGGTCCCATCTGTTATATCAATCAGAATATAAATCAGAATAGAGCTGGAAGGGACCTTGGAGGTCTTCTAGTCCAAACCCCTGCTCAAGCATGAGACCCTATACCATTTCAGACAAGGGACTGTCCAGTCTCTTCTTAAAAACCTCTATGATGAAGCTCCCACAACTTCAGAAGGCAAGCTGTTCCACTAGTTGTCCTCACTGTTAAGAAGCTTCTCCTTCGTTCCAGGTTGCTTCTCTCCTTGATTAGTTTCCATCCATTATTTATTGTCCTGCCCTCTGATGCTTTGGAAAATAAGTTGACCCCCTCCTCTTTGCGGTAACCTCTCAAATACTGGAATACTGCTATCATGTCCCCACTAGTCCTTCTTTTCTCTAGACTAGCCCAACCTAAATCCTGCAACTGTTCTTCATATGTTTTAATCTGCAGGCCTTTAATCATCTTAGTTCCTCTTCTTTGCACTTTTTCCAAAGTCTCCTCTTTTTTGTAATGTGATGACCAAAACTGGATGCAGTATTCCAGGTATGGTCTTACTAAGGTACTTACTAAGTGGTACTAATATTAGTACTAATGTTAAGGAGTCAGATCTGGTGGGACCCAGGAGAGGGGCCTTTTCTGTCACACATCCACCCTGTGGAACATCAGCATTCACCCCGAGGTGAGACTGACACCATCCTTCAGGAAGTCCCTTAAAACATGGTTGTGTCAACAAGCTTGAGGATCTCAAGGAATAGTGAATTGGTGAGATAGATGCTTTTTCCTAGTCTTTAGGATGGTTTTTTTCATTGTACAGTGTTTTTAATGTTCATTTTATGGCTTATTTTTATTTGTATGCTTCCCAGAGTCATCTTTGCAAGATGGTGGCTAAGTAAACATGAATAAATAAATGAATAAATAAATTTATTAGTATATTTATACAGTCAGTACTAGCATAAATTTAAGTTGGGAAATCCTGCCACTTGCTTGCTTAGTCACTTGTATTAAATATTACAGTACTTTTAAAACACTGTTTAGTATGCCTTTGTTTTTGTCTTTTGAATGCTTTAGGTTTTAGGCTTAAATGTGACAAGGCAACCTAAGTGATGCAGATCCATTTGGATGACAATACATAAATCTTTATATAATTTTACATTTGTTTTTGACCTATGTCATGTTCATAAAATAAGAATTTTTTTACAAAAAGGGGAAAAATACCCAGCAATATAGATATCCACTCTCCATTACAAGGCCCTGCACAGGAACAGATGCATAACAGAATACTGTAACAGAGTTGGAAGGAACCTTGGCATTCTTCTAGTCCAACCCCTTGAATAAGCAGGAAACCCTATACCAGGGGTCCAGAACCCCAGGTCCATGGACCGGTACCGGGCCACGGCATGCCAGCAACTAGTCTGCACAAACAAGCAAACCCCATCTGCGGGATGCAGGCAGCACACAAAACCATACCCCCTGTGGTCCATGAATAAACCTCTCTCCACGGAACTGGTACCTGGTGCCCAAAGGTTTGGAGACCTCTGCCCTATACCATTCTGGACAAATGGCTGCCTTGCAGTGCATAGAATGGATGTCCAGCTTTCTGAAAGTAATAGGAATCGCGTATCAGAATTGGCCATACTATTGGGCAGAGTAAGGCAGTTGCCCAAACCAGATGAACTCTGAATTTCATGGAAAAAATTGTAAACTGTCAATTTTTCAACCTATTAAGGTTTTATTTGCTGTTGGTGGCGTTTTCAAGCTCAGATCCCTTAGCCAATCTTGGCTACTACCGGTATCTACAATCTGGCTGCTTATTTTTGCTTTTTAACTATTCTTTTTAATCCCAACACTATCAAAAATATCATTGTTGACTTACATGTTTCAGAATTCAATTTTCTGGGAGGATTTTTGTGGCAGGTAATATTTAACTATTATATGAGGACTATGAGAAGATGAAATACGAAGCAGGTGTGCAGCCTGCTACATGAGCAAATTTCAGTTGTTTCAATGCTTTGTGTGCAAGATCCTAGGGAAGTGGGGTTTGAAACCCTTTATTCTAAAAAGACATGAGAAATTAATCTAAGTTTTGTTTCCTCAATCATGCTGTTTTTTTTCATACATAGCTTTTTTGGTTTATAGCTTGCCAATAGAATTTCATCATGAAAACATGTAATTTTCAGGTAGAAAATATTTGCCAAAGGCATGGACTAATTCTACATCCTGGGATGATGGAAACTTTGGCCAATTTATGTGACTTTGGTAGAAGAGGCAGAATGCAGTGAGTTTTAATAAAATGCTTACTTCTTTTTTTCCATAAATAATTTAACACCGAGATCACAATCCTAGAAAGACAGTTTGGTGTAGTGGTTAAGGTGCTGGCCTAGACTAGAAACCAGGAGATTGTGAGTTTTAGTTCTGCTTTAAGCATAAAAAAAACCACCTGGGTGTCTTTGGTTCAGTTACACTCTCTCAGCCCACCTACCTGGTTATTGTTGTAGGGAAAAATAGGAGGAGATTAGTGAAGGAGGATTATATTAGGTATGTTCCCTACCTTGAGCTACAAATAAAAAAAACCCTATAGATCAGTTCAGAACATGGTAGCATGATTGAAATGTGATGCTAGAAATGAAACACTTACCCAGTGTTTATGGAAGTGGCTAGATTTGTTCAGCAATCTCCAATTTCCATTAACTAGTTCTTGCTGTTATTAAAGGGGGCATTGGCAAGTCCCCTCTTCTAAGATGGATACTAATATATAATGTTAGGAAGAGGACAAGAAAGTTGGATCTCTTCCTTAATACTTGGTGTCTGTGCAAAACTTAGGCAAACTCAGAGTTAAGACCTCCAAATGTTTTTGTGTTCTATTATAAATAAAACAAATTGTGTGATATGTGTGTGTGTCATCAGCATTCGTTTACCTGTGCATCCTCTAATTCAGGGGTCTTCAAACTTGGCCCTTTTATGATTTGTGGTCTTCAACTCCCAGAATTCCTCAGCCAGGCATGCTGGGAGTTGAAGTCCACAAGTCATAAAAGGGCCACATTTGAAGACCCCTGCTCTAATTTAATCTCAACTTTAATTGGGAATAAAACTCTGCTGTAATTAGCTTTGAACCATTTCCTAATTAAATGTGTTTAAGTTTGATAAATTATCTCAGGTTATTCTGGTCTTTAAGATGTTCCAGTAGCCTAAAACAAAGCCCTGCTAAAGAAAGAAAATATGGTATAGCAAGATAAACAGAAACTGAAGTCAATGCATTTGATTGCTATGTTGTGGTTTTGGGGCAAGAAGGGGATGTAGATGGCATGCCTGTAAACTTTAAAAAAGTTTTAATGGAAAGTTCTCCAGTTCCCTGTTCTTGCAGGGAACTCTGAGATTTCTCCAACTCAATTGTACCTTAGTGCAATTTTAGAATTTAAAAATGTTAGAAATTCTAAATTAGAAATTTTTGAATTTTAAAGTTTAGATTTTAGCATTTAAGTGGCTATGAGGTGACTGGCGTGAATGGGGCCATCCATGCTAGGCACAGTTGGGTAGATGAAAAAGCCTGGAGTGACATACAAAATAACACAAAACACTTGGGACAGAACAGATGACTCGATTCAACATACTGGTTCTTTTTGCTGTCAAACAAATCTGCTTACATTAATTGTATTTAATTTTAATATATTTCCATGTATAGATGGAAACCATTTGTAGAGTTGCTGAAGAAAGTCCAAACTGGAATGAACCCTGCTTTCCTTGTTTGTAAAAGTAAGGAATTAACTGTCATTTTTCAGCATATTAATCAGATTAATATGATAATATGTTTTACATTTCTATAGAATGTTTTAATATACTACACATTTGTTCATGCTAAGTTTGTTCTATTTACAAGCGCCCTGTAGATCATGTAACCTTTTCAGAACAGAAAAGTAATGATGATCCTGGTTTCATGTAAACCTTACATATATTCATATAAACTTCCCTTAGAATCGTCATATATTTTCTCCAAACTAAGAAGTGACATTTATTTTAGGAAGAAAGGTCATCATGATGTTCCCTAATAAAATTTTCAATTAATGCCTAAGGATCGCTATAAAATGCTTGCATGTAAACAAATCTAAATCATTTATTTTTCTCACAGGTTAATAGAAAGTTTACTTTCCAATGCCTGTAATTCATTAATGTTATATCCTCCAGGTCTTCTTTGTTAAGTAGCCATTTTTGCAATGTCTTCTACAGACCATACAATTCACATCACTAGAATTTTGGAAAGTTTTGTAATGCTAAGATAATCAGTGCAACTTAACTATGGCTGTCATACAGTTTCACAGTTTATGATGCCAGCTTAAATGGCAGAACTCCAAAACCGCCAATATTCAGTCATAAGTCCCATTTTGGCCATTGGTTGGTCTCAGTACATTTACTCTCTCATTTCACTTCCGTCCTGCTAATTTGAGTGCTTTGACAAAATAGTTAATTATGTTCCCTCTTTTCCTAAGATTTGATCATTTGTCTTGGCACGGATTCAAAGTTGACATACAGTACAAACAGAAATTAGTAATAATTCTGCCACACAATTTTCTTCTAAATGGAATATCTGGCAAGACAGAACTTGGACAATTCTGTTTACTCTTAGGAATATAAAGAGTCACACTGCAGTTAGACTTTGACTCAAAGTCTAAAACAAGTTTCAACAAGTTAGATTTTTTTTGGCATGCATCCAATACAACAACTTCATAGAAGAATAAAAATGTTTCGGTGGCTTTCTTCTACAAGTACATTCCTATGGTGGTTCTCTTTGCAATACATAAATATTGTCTCAGCTGGTACAGTCAATCCAACATGTAGCCTGAATGAATAATGCAACTTCACCCAAAGAAAGGTGAAAAATCTTGTCTATATAAACTTCAGGTTAGATAATACTATTAATAATATCACCATTCATGTTTCATACATGACAGTCCGATGAATATTTTTTTAAAAAAATCTGAAACATGAGAATTGAAGTCATTCTGTAAACATGAGAACTGCATTTTCTACAATTGCTTTTTGCTATTTTATAAGCCACAGTGGAGATAATGTCTCTCATCTAGCATGCTTTCGCCATGCTCCATGATGTTTGCCCTTTACTTTCTCACACTCCGTCATATAGAAAATAGAAGAATAATGCTTCTAATGTAGTTTCTTCCAACCCGATGCCCAAAAGATATCTTAGGATTGCAATCCCATTTGCTCTAAGAACTCTGGGAATTGTAGTTGCATCATGTCTGTAGGACATGTGTTGAGGAAGGGCACCAGGACTTTATTCCAAAAAGCCCTGGTGGTGCAGTGGTTAGAATGCA